AGGCTATTCAATATTTTACCTGAAAATATAATTGCTCAGGTCCCTGTAGGAGAATGTTTGGAAACTTCCCTGCACTTCTCAGAGGAAACTGGTTACTTCAATGAATCTTTAGTAGGATTTATCAGTCCTGAAAAATCTGCAGTTCCTGCAGTGCTGGCCTCCTGATCATGGTGGGTCTAGTGTGCTTCTTGTGGAAGTCGGAGCTGTGACAAAAGCCTTCCAAAGGGTGATTAGCAAACACAGTAGCAGCTAATTCTGATAAACTGCGGGTGAGCAAATAGACCTTTGTGTAACTTGCCTTGTGTGCTGAGCAATTGGAAGGGACAGATTTGGGATGGGGAGAGAGAGACTTAGCAGGTGGGCATCTGACACTGTTGCTCTGCCCGTGTACATCCTAAACAAGCTTCAGCTCATGAGACATCATGTTTTCATGATCAAAACAGTCACTAAGGTAGGGGGTGTATTAGTCTTTTCTTAAGAGATGGGCATCTGCATGGAGAGAGAGAATAGAGTGAAATGCTTAACAGTGTACAACAGCCCAGGGGACTGCAAGCAAAGTGTGTGGTCTCAGCCAGCATGGCTCTAATGGCCATTCAGTCATAGGCAGTCCTTATTTTCTGCTTTGGAGGGGCAGTTTGTAGGGTCTTTGGGAACCCATCTGAATGGTGAGTGACTCCAAGTTTTTGTTTTCCTGAGTTAATTTTAGTAACATCTGTTTTCCAGTCTTGTTCACGGTGTGCTACACAAATGTTTTTGCTAGTGTGGTGCAGAAAAGGAGGAATGATGGACAAGGTGGGTGGCTATTGCTTAGATTTGCTCTCTCTTTACTGCAACTGAATGTCAAACCACACCATGTTACTGGGCTGTGTCAGATTATATGTGGACACAGCATTCCTGTTAGTTAAATACCATCCATTTTAGCCAAATGGCATTCCTTTTAGTTAAATAAATAATAATTTAGTTTTAAAAGATGGAGTTTGCCCTTAAGCTAGGTTTAGGAACCTAAACATTTGTTGTTTTGAGCTGAACCAGTCTTTCAGTTCCCTTTGCAGTCCATGGAGAAAGCAAGGCTTCCCCAGAGAAATTCATCCTAACTTCCACAGGATGGAGAACAATTGCTTAACTCTCTCTTTTGACAGCAGGTAACCTAGAAATCTAGGTTCAATTAAATGACTCTCTCTCTCTCTATCATACTGATGATTAGCAGAATTTGCATTTGTTGTCTGCTGCTTAGAACTCCCCAAGCCTGGTATCTTCCACTAATTCCAAAGAGTTTTGGAACAAAACCCGACACTGCTGCATGTCTGACACTCTGGTAACAGCAAAGTGACTCGATTAAGTGGAATTGGTTTGGGAGGGGCGAACTGTGAAGTGGCACTCAAGTTTTGGCAGGTTACCTGTGTTCCTCTGGCACAATCCCCAGCAGAAGCTTAGTGTACCACCCTAAGTTTTATGTTCTTAAAGTAGAAAAAAACCCAACCTTAAAACAACAAGATTTGAAATCTGAACTGGAAAATGGTAATGCAGAAAGTGAAATCAACAGAGCAGAAAGAGGAGGAGGGGATGCCAGGGCATCAGAAATGGGCCAGCAGGCATTTCATCTGGATCAGCTGAGTTTGCCTGGCAGTGTCTTAACACCTGGACTGCAAAATGCAGTGGCAAAGGTGAAGGTTTATGATAAATTCTGCTGACTGTTACGGGAAAATGGATTTCTGGCAAAGGGGTGGAAAATGCAGTTGGGGGCAGTAAAGTGGCTCAAACCTTGGAACAATTTGCTTTCATGCAAGAGACCTGGAATCATCAGCCTCTATGAGCAAGACCCTGACTATGAGAAGAGCAGTGAAGATTTGGTCATTGATTGAATCGGGACCAGGATTTCACTAATTCATGACTAACTGGTAATCACAGTAAGTAATTACTAATTATGGCAAATGTGAAACAGTTGTGTTGGTGCCTGGAGCCGAACTGTTTACATCAGGGTTGGGGGTTTTTTTTGTGTTTCAGCATGGCTTATACATATCCCTGTGTTACACACAAAAAGTAGGATTTGGCTGAAAAAAACGGCTGCATGGAAGGACCATTCAAGTCAATGAAGAGTGAGTTCTGTCCTCTTCAGGCTCTGAGACACTGCTTGCTGGCCTAAGTGTACTAAATAACTGAATAAAATATTTATTGACCTGTACTCAGGTATGGTAGAAAACGCTGATTAAAAAAAAAACAAACAGTAGAAAAGGATTTTTCCATGAAATGCTGGCATTATGTTGGCAGTAAATACAAGCATTCTCATCTCATGTTGATGTGATAGCCATTTCTGTTTATAGATATCTCTTGAGGAGATTCTTTCTTTCAGAATAGATGTGTTCTGTCCCCAGTTACAGTGGTTTCTAAAGAGCTGTGATAGAGAAAGATGTATGAGCCTAGAAAACAAACTGACAGAGCTGGTGGCTTTATCAGGACAGTTGAAAAGAAACTTAAATTTTACATGTATGCCTATTAAGAAGTCTGGGAAAAATCTTGTTTTCATTCAAAAAAAATACTGTAGAACAGAAAGGTACTTGGTGGGAGAGACTGCCAGGGAGGTAGCTGAAGGCTAAGAGCAAAATCTGGTTATTTTCACTCCTTAACACTTGTTCTATACCTTTACAGCCTGTTTCCATCAACACTCATGAAAGGTTATTACTATTTCTCTTCTACAAAAATAAACTGAGCTGTTGAATGTGGTGGAGAGGAAGATGCAAGGAGTTGCCTCATACTTCTGCTTGCCCAAACTGTGTTCAGAGGCTAGTGTTCAACAGATTAAATTTAAAAAAAAAAAGCCGAAACTCAAACTTACCCAGCCTCCTTCCCCCATACTAAACCTTACCTACACCTGTGACTGCTATTAAGAGTAAAAAGCCTCAGCTGCTGTTTGGCTCTGGAAACATCTGCACTTAACTTACATTGTTAAAAGTTCTCTGAATTCCTCCTGAGACTGAACCACATAACACACAGTTTGGACAGTGAAAGTTGCTACTCCTTTCTTCCAGATCAAAGAAGCAGAGGAGAAGGGAAGAAGTGAAAAGAAAGGTTGATGGCACACAGACCTTTGTACTGGAGACCACCACTTAGAGAGCCCCAGGATACAGGTAAGCTAAGCTCAATTTCTTTCTTGAAGGAAAATGTGCAGGTATTACCTGATGTTTGGCTATGTCAGAGGGGGAAATTTGTTGAGGAAAAAGCATAAACAACTAGTAAAAGTAATATTCCTTTTCTGCTAGCCCTAGGCAACTTCTCAGCTATGTTTGGGTCACAAATATGGTTCTGTGGCACCTGCAGTTTTCAGCTATGTGGGGGTCTCAATAGCCTAACACAATTCTGGATTCTGCCCTAGAGGTGAGACTACAGAAAGACCCATTTTTTTAAACCAATTTCTTCTGTGTTTGTGCCTTGTGTGAAGCTTTCTCTCACATCTAAATATGAGTGCATCAGCAATGCTACTGCTATGACCAACTTAAAATCAAATGTAGAAGTAGAAAGTGCAGACCTGAGGTCAGTGGTAAAAGTACCAGTTTTCTAGATGCTCAGTATGTGGTCATCAAAAATACAATGAAAGTGGTAGAACTAAGACAAGCAAGTAGCAACAACTGAAAACTCAGCTTCTAAATCTAGAATGAATTGACAGTGACTCCTTTATTTCCAGTATATGTTCTCCAATTCAGAACTCTGAAAACCCACTGGTTTGATTGTACAGACTATCACAGGCTATTGAGTTACAATGGCATAATGAGGCAGTTAACTGCGTGTTTTTCTCCTCTCTGGCACATTTGAAGTGAAAGAAAAGTATTTTAGTGTAACTCATTGTATTTGCCATTACAACTGTTGAAGAGGGTGTGCAAGAACAGTTGGGAAAGCTCAGCCACAATTAAGCTACAGCCACATACCAGGTAGGGTCATCTTTATCCTGATTTTTGTCCATAGCTCTTTTTGTGTCTGCTGTGTGTTTCTTTTCACACTGCTGTGGAATGTGTGCATTTTTACAGCAGTTGTTCTCTGTCCTTTCTTGGTGGAGAAGAACATTCACAAATATTTTGTGAAGAAGGTCTGGGATTGAAATTGCAGTATCAGAAAACTTGTTTTGGCAGCTGAATGGTTAACAGCACCAGCATTTCCACATTTGACTAGTTTGAGATTAATGGGTGAAATTCATATCTCCTCCAGAGTCTCATTTATACCTTCTGCATTAATAGTGAGCAGTTCCACAGCTAAACCCCCATGAAAATGGCCCAAGTGAAAGCTGCTGCTCAAGTAGCAGATCTTGTGGGATATTGAACTGGGGAAATGTCAAGGGACAGACAGCAGCTTTGGCTCACCAACCATCTAGTAGAGTATGTAAAGAGACTTTAAAAGTACAGGTGGCTGTGCTGTTCCACTATGTAATTTTCTTTAAAATATTGCTATCCATATTGTAGTTTTAATTAAGCAAAAGGGAAAAGTTGGCTACTAAACATAATATATTTGGGCCAGTGCTCAAGCACAAATTGAGTCATGCAAATACACAGCAAACCAACTTGGTTAGTTCTAAAGTGGCATTGATGAAATCTTCTGGTTTGTTGATGAGATTTTGAGTGTTTCCCTCCCCCAATTCTTTTGTTAGTTTTATTCAAAAGCGGGCATTTCTATATATTAGCTAAAGCCTTGCCTGAAATTTTGCTTAAATCATCTAAGTTTTAGGGATTCAGCATATTGAACTTTGAGGAGTAGAAACAGTAGTGCATGTTTCCAGGGGACTTAGTTGGTTTGGGTTTTTTAATGGTAATTCTAAACACAAAGGAAACAAAGTATTTCCTTGGAGCTGAGCATGGTTTCATCCAAACCATGCTAAGAGTCACTCGGTAAGAATCGGCGATAAGGACAGAAGCGAGGAAAGCTTAAGTTAGGGCTGGAATTGCCCCAGTAGGCTCCAATGTCGCAGCAGAGGGGGCAAACACATCTTTAAATTCGCTGCCTGTTGTGTGTGACAGCGAGGTGGTTTCGGCCCCTTCCTCCGTCCCCGTCCCGATGCAGGGCGATCCGGGGATGCGCTCCGGGAGCAGCTGGAGCGCGCCTGCCCCCGGCGCTCTCTGCAGCCCGCGGGGAGACACGGGCGCTCGCCGCCGCCCTGCTCGGAACGGCAAAGACTGGAGCTCCCCCCAGACCTCGGGAAAATGATCCGCGGAGCCAGCGAGTGCCTCGGGAGAGCGGCACTGCTCTGGGTGCCCTGTCTCTGCTTGCCGTTTCCTTCTGCTCGGGCTCATCACAGAGATGTAGGGGGGCTCAGCCGTTCTTGGGCCGATGGAATGGCAAGCTTGTCCTTGCTTAGAGAGATGCACAAGTGGCTTAATTCATGCGGGATCTTTTTATTCGTGCACCCATAAATAAGTCACTCTTATCTTCAGTATTGTTAACCTTATCACTAGGAAACAAGCATTGGCCTGTAACATAACCTTTCTGCATTGGTGACTTTGCCATCCTCTGTGTACTTGCATAGTCTTTTCCCTCAGCAGACTTTCTCATCTTAGGGAACAGGATTTTGGGTAGAGGTCCTGTCTTAAAGTGCTGGTGAGCAAGGCCTAAAAAGTTGCCTGGCTTTGAGATGTGAGCCATGAAAGAAGTACCTTCCTTCCAAGAGCCTGCTGGCATAGGTGCCTCAGCACTTACGAGGTCTGGGCAGGTACAGACCTCCAAAGACCCTTGAAGTTTCTTTACTATTTTTTTTCTTTCCCAACCCTATGGCAAAATCATGTGTTCCCACTTTATCTCTAAGAGGGCTTTACTGTGCCAGTAAAACCCTGAGGCTCGGTTGTACAGGAAGCAACTAAAAAGAATATGACACTCAGTAGTATGGGAAGCCTTGCTGGAGAGAGTGTCACTGAGGTAATAGGAGACTTTAACAGGGCCTGGAGAGGAGCAATTTGCCAGAGAAGGTCTGTTTGAAAAGTACAGTCAACCCATTTTGAAAGACACTGGTCAAAAAAAGTCTTTATGCTACAGGAAGTTGCCGAAGGCATGGCAGTTTGGAGGTGGGAAAGATTTTGGTAAGGATAATTGACTTTTAGTAACAAATTAAGCTAGAAGGTTTGAATTACATAGGGTAGTCAATCAGAGGAAGAGTATAAAGCTTAGATGTTCATGTAGGTTAGAAGAATATTCTGGAGTGGGATGAAGGGGAGAGATGTGCCTCAGTTGTAAAGATAAAATGGGAGAAACAGGGAAATGTAAAGAACTGGATGAGGCAACAGTTCAGACGTAACTTAAGGAAGACAGAGGGACTCTAAGCTTAAAATTCTGTATAAATGAGATATTCTCTTTTATTACATGATGGTGTGACAGTTTCCGCCAGCCAAAACATTTGAGCTGTCAAGCTGGAAGTCTTCAGACTTTCCTTGCAACCTAAAACATCTTCATCTTTTTAGCTTTGTTTGGGTGATGTTTTAGTTTTGGGATTTTTTGTTTCCTATTTTGGAACCTGGTGTATCTAGCTCCTGTTAACTTGTTGGACTTAATTACTTTATGCTAACTCAGAGGCACTAAGTGCATAAAGCAGGACCTTTGGTAAAAACCCATGTGTTGTGAAGGTCTCCAACAATGTCAGCAATGGAGGATGACAGTCTTCATATTTTTCTATTCTCCAGTGAAAAGTGTTAGGAGTTCTCAACATTTTTAATAAGTTGGTTAAGTGTTATGGAAGAGAGAGAAGTAGGTGTGGTGTCAGACTTGACCCAGCTTCCTTGATTAGCATACCCAGCTGGACAGCAGAAGTAATTATGTCTGACATGGTATCACAGCTTTGGGGACTGAAGGTTTGTATGAATCACAGAAGCCTGACAAACTGAATAGGAGAGTTTCTCTACTCCACTGTGCTGACTTTTTCTTTTTTTACACTAGAAGACCAGAAAGATGTTCCACACTGTTTCTGCCTTGTCTTGGGTCCATTGTGGTATCCTCTCCAACGCTGTTTTCTCTTGGAAAGCTGCTCTTGAGTATCTTCTTGGCCCACTTCCCAATTGCTTTGCTACTCAGATGAATTTAAAACCCCCGATTTTGCTTTTTTTCCCCATGTGAATGAAAGCATCACACTGTCTCCCTTCTGAGTGGAAATGACACAGCTCTTGTAGGGTTCATAAGGTAACCAAAATATTTTGTTTCTGATGGACACTGTTCTTGGCACCTTGAGAGAGAGGCCACATAGCTTAATGGTTATTGAGATCAAGAAGGCTTACTCATTTTCTTATAAGCTGCCATTCAATATATTAGAATGAATAAAACCTCTGAACTTTAATAAATATTTCCAAGAAAACCCAACAGTAACATCTTGAATCTTGCACAAGTCTATGGCCTTGCTGGACACCTTCTTTAAAAGTCAGTCACCTTAACTTTATCCTTTTATCCTCTGCTTGATGAACTTTACAAGACTTAAGTGGGAGATCCATATCTTCTCTGGCTAGGCAGGGAATACTTACTGTTCAGGCTCCTACCTGCTTCCATTGATTCTAGCTTGTGCAAAATCCTCCATGTAGGAAATATGGAAAAAGTACTCCTCACTTTAAGAAGACTTCATCTTCTCTCTTCCCCTATTTCTTTTTTAATACAAGAAATGTGGACATTTTTTCGGGGGGGAACACGTACAAAGAGAGAGACTAGAAAGTATTTGAGTAAATCTATTTATTCTTCCATTTTCAGACCCTTGATTCTTCATTCATACAGTTGCTTTTTGAGGAGGGAAGAACAGAAAAGGGCAACCCACTGCACCACAACTCCTTCAATTGTTTGTTGCTCGAGTTGGGGGAAAAGAAGTGTGTGAGAGTGTGTTCTCTGGGACCGTGACTCCATCTGCAGGCAGGAGCATGCCACTCTACCGAGAGCCACCACGACCTCCGTGCAGCGTCGAGCCCCTCGGGTCTTGAGTGACACTGCTGAAATCTCCCGGTGTTTCTCAGTGCATAGCAGTTTCTCTGTCACTCCCAAAACCTAAATGAGAATAAGAGTAGTAACAAGTCAAATTATGTGGGTAGCTCATGAATTTTACTTCCATGATCTGGGTACCTTTAGTGCAAGCAGCCAACATATATATAGGGATTATATGAGTAAATTTGTGTGCTTACTGGTGAAAGGAGAGAATAGCACTAAGGAAGTATGGCTGCAGGTTACAAGAAAAGCAATTAAATCCTGTGGCCATAGCACCTACATGTCAGGGGTGTGTTGATGGTAATGGTTTGCTGGGAACAGCAGCCTTAAAATTCTACATCTAGCTTTGCTGGTGAACTACCCCAGGCAGAGTGCATGTCCCCAGCTGAAAGGTGGAGGTAATGATGCTTTGCAAATATCTAAGAAAAAAGGCAACCAACTTCCAGTGCTTGCATTTTAGAGGGATTAAAAATACAGTCATTCTTCTACCTGCCCTGCAGTTATAAGGTCATTTAGTATAATCTTCAAGATACTGAGGGAAGAAGAGTGAGGAAGTAAAACACCAATCATGAGTTTGGCTAATTAATCTTTTCCATTAAGTAGCTCATAAACCAGTAGCAATTCTAAGAAAAAGTATTTGGACATTAAAGAGTTCTGGATATCATAAAGGTCTTTTTAGTGAAGAGTCCTAGTAGCTAAAAAAGCCTGGTGGAATATTTGTGTTCTGTAAACTACTCTTATAAAACCAGACACAAATACCATGTTTAGGAAACAGTAAATGCTCATATTACAACACTTTCACTTAGATTGGGAGAGTCCTCTTAAGATCTAGTCCAGCCTCAATGCTCAAACAGGTAAGCTAAGTTGTTCAGGTAACCTCTCTGGTCTACCTGTACCAGTATTTGACTCTTCTAACGGTAAAAAAAAACAACTCATGTTCTCGTGTTCAGATTGGTGTTGTGTTGTTTGGTTTTGGGGTGTTGCTCTGGTTTTGGTTCTGTTTTTCATTCAGTGCCCCTTGCCTCTTATCCTGGCAATGGACACTGCTGAGAAGTGTCTAACTTCTTCAACCTCCTTCCCATCCATCAGGCATTTGTACAAATGGATGAGATCCTTCTGAGCCTTCCCTTCTCCAGGCTAGATAGTCTCAGTTTTTCAGCCTCTCCTCATACAGTAGCTGCTCCAGTCCCTTAATCATCTTTGTGGCCTTGCACTGGACTCACTCCAGTAAGTCCAGATCTTTCTTGTGCCAGGAAGCCCTGAATGAGATGCAGTATTCCAGAAGCAGCCTCACCAGCACTGAGTAGAGATGCAGGATCACTTCCTTCAACCTGCTGGCAACTCTCTTGTTCCTGGTGGCCTTCTTGGCTACAAGGGTGCATTGCTGGCTCGTGGTCACCTTCTTGTTACCAGGATCCCAAGGTTCTTCTTGGAAAAGCTGCTTTCCAGCTGGTAGATGCCTAGGATATGCTGGTGCCCAGGGCTATTCCTTTGCATTTCCTCTTTTGAACTTCAGGACATTCCTCTGCCCACTTCTGTTGAGGTAGTACTTGTGAAAGGTGACACAACCATCTGGTATTATAAGCCAGTCCTTCAAGTTTTAAATCATTTGCAAACTTGTTGAGGATGCAATCCGCAGCTTTTTTTTTGTATGGAAATGAAAGCTGCTTCCCTCCAGGTATTAATACTTCTCCTGTTTTCCTACTCATGAAGTTTAGTGCTTTTCTGTGGGATTTTTCACTATTATTAGTCTATTTCTTTTGGACGAGTAATTTGCATCTTAATATAAACTACAGACTTGAAAGAGCATGGGTGGCCTTAGAGCTGCTGAAAATACTAGGACTAGAAAGAGTATTTCCCTCAGTGTTAGAGGGGGGTTGATGAAGCTAGTCTTTATTTCTAACATCTCAAAAGGCAGATAACCTTTTCCTGTGTGTTGTACAGCCCTATGGGGAAATGCCAGTGCAAGGAGAGATTTCCTACAGGCTGCGTGCCTTCATGCTCAGCAGGCTGACTTGCAGCCCAAACCCTTCTGCCTGCCAGTAGGTGAGGGCTGATCACTGAGAACATGCAGCATGGTCCAGCATAGCTGAATTCCCTATGAAATTCATCACACCAGGCAGATGAACTCTGCTAGAAGCTTGATCTCTGCATGGCCCTTCCCACCCTTATCCTAATGGATTTCTTTCCTTTGGGAATGTAAAGTCTCATCACCACCATATTTTCTTTTTTTATTTTCTTTTTTTTCATATTTTTTTAATTTTCTTTTTTCCCAA